AAACTACAGCACTTTTTCATTTCCCCTTACAAGGTTAATCTCCATCCAAAATCATCCATTGTATTTTCAACTGATTGAACATTGGCCAGAAAAATACCGGGGAGAGGAGGTCAATGTTCGTTGCATTTCATCTACACTTGAACTTCGTTTGGCTGTTGACAGATGAGTCAGGGTGTCTCTCCTTACTGTAGACAAGTAGCGACTAACAAGTTGTTTCTTGAGTTCTTATTCTGATGTTTATTTAAGAGTGTATGGTGAATGTCAGTGATAACTGTGGTAAAAGACTTGACAAACAGCAATATTATCAAAATTGAACACATGCAACATCAAGTCAAGTTTTAAAAGCAAAATGTTTCTCTGAAATGAAATTATGAATATGAAACTTTTCTTGGTTACAGTACATTTTTTATTTGTTTTCATCATATTGCTTATTTGTATCTTTGTGCTGCACTTTTAAATGTTGACGTATTTTATTGGAAAAATTAAAATGAAAAGATTTCACATCACAGAATGGAACCATACAGCTTGGTCTTCTTGGTTATAATTTTGTCTTCAAACGCTTCTTAAGTCATCTAGCCTGGGATGCAGGCCAAACGCCTGTCAGATACCGCATCACACAGAGCACATGCTACTAGTAAACAAATATTTATTTCTGGGATTTTTGTGTCTTTTATGTCAACGTTTGTTGATCCACTGATGACTTAAAAGGTTTGTGACCCTCTCCACCCAACAGCGGTATGATAAACCAATTTCATCACTCAGATCTAAGCTGCAGACTGATGTCAGACATTTAATGGACATGCAGGCATATGAGCGGCGCGTCTGATTCTAGACACTGATGATGGGTGAAGAGAAGATCCTGGGATACCAAGCGGCAAATGGGTCTCGCAGTGATGCATCGCAGTAAATGCGTCACAGTCGGATAAGGGAGACAGAGAGAGAAAGTGACTGAGTGAGCAGGGGCTTCCTGCTCCGCTGCGCTGCGCTCTTTAATTCAGCTCCTCACTCTGCATCGAGCCACAGGAGATCCGTGTGGCGAGTCAGATAGATTCCCCGTGTCCTCGCCGGTTCAGTAGTGGAGGTAAACAGGCACACGGTCTTGCATGTGGTGTATTCAACTGTGGGAGATTTGGCTGACCGTCTGTTGCAAGATGGTGGAGAGATTGCACCCTAACGCACCCGAGGTTTTACTCGAACCGCTCGGCCCACCTGTGCCTCTAAGATGCTGTATCTGTGTGCTCATGCCCCCCCCACCCCCACTTGATAACCTTCGATCCTGTCTGCTTTGTAATTATCATTTTTACGACAGCGCTGCAGGCGTCATAAAGCCTTTAATGGAGATAAGAACTTTTCGGTCTCTGCAACTGTGATGAGGCGCCAGTCGCGTAAATGAGGAAGAGAATCGCGGGGGCTTTGACAGATAACTTCATATTTTACTCTGGGAGGGGTGGACCCTTGTATCCAACCAGACTGTTCTATTCATGAACAGAAATTGCCTAGGATTCATGTTGGGCTGAGGATTAGAGCAGCTTCTAATGGTTTAGAAGTTATTGTCTATAAAGAGGTCTAGCAATGAATCACTAGGGAAAAATGAGCCAAATTGATTATAAAAGGCAAAGCAGAAATAAGATCTCAGTGCTGGTATAGGCAGTCAAAAGGTTAATATGTGGATTTGAGGTTTGTGCTTCTGGATCTGTGCTGCTTATCTTTTTGCATTTAATGTTTTATTTTACAACCCGTGTCTGCTGAAAAATCTGTTCTTTTCTCTGTCAGATACATACATTGCAAGATACCACAAAGCAACGGGATTAAAGGCTAGGCTGGATTGACCTGGATTGTAAGATGTCTAACTCTGTTTTGGTATCAGTCATTGACTGTTTTTTTTTGTTTGAAGTATGTTTATCATTATCATTTTATTATAAAATATGTATTCCAAGCAGGGCCACAAATGAATGGATAAACTGAATATCAGGACACCACAATCTCCTCACTAAAACCAACAAAATATGTGCTTATATGAACCATATATCAGCTAGTTGCCTTAAGACCACTTACTTAGTCTCTCCTGATTGAGACTAAAAAATTGTCTTTAATTATGTTACTTATTAAAACAAGAGGAAAAGTTTGAGGTGTTAAACGACAGTACTGTGGTTCGTGTTCACTTTCATGTCATATTTTGTGTTACTGAACTGGTGAGGTTGTGTAGAATTGGAACTTGTGAAACTGGAGAGGGAATGTGGTTTGGAATTGCCGTCACTGGTGGATCTCTTCCCCTCCGTCATGTGTTTTACTTATCATGTGATTCTCCGGCTACTGGCCAGACTGCGGCATCATCACCATATGTAATAACATGCGATGACACCTCCTGGACAGAGACTTGGAAAGGAGCTCAGTGGCCTTCAATCTCCCTCCCAAAGAACGCCTCACAGTCTCTGGTTGATCTCAGGCCAAGTTCTGCTGGTGACGGCCTGCACAATCTCACAAGTTCCTGTGGTAAATTCCTCATGCCGGCCATCGGTTTGTTTTGATGCCCCGATGTAGAAGTTCTGCTGAGAACCATGAGCGTTGAACGCCCTCCGCCACATTCTCCATTATCTTCACCCTCTTCCTAACCACAGTCATCATCATCATCATCATTATTCTTTGACTGGAGGTGGGAATGAAACAGACTGGAGGCAAGATGCCGCTTGCATGTGTCTGAGGGTGTGAAAGAGGAACGATAGATGGGGTCAGACAGCTTGAGCACTCTGACGTCAAACCACAAGGAGTTTATTGATGTTGGTGTGTCACATCATTCCTGCTTCACAGCCAAATTCTGTTTTGTGGATGGGAGTTCTGCTGGAAACAATGGCCATGAATGGCTCGAAAGCCTAGATAAGAGTCATAACTGTGACTTCTGTCTAAGCCTGGCCGGGGAAATGGACTCGTTAATGAGCCCACCAGTGAAAACGCACCCAGCAGCTGTGGTGAGAGACGAAGCCTACTAACCCTAACCCTGTCTGAGAGGAAACCAGAAAGAGCTTCTCTCTGTTCAGATCCACGCTGCCACACTCTGTGAAACCAGGCTTATCCAGTAGAGCAGCAAGCTGTGGTTTTTTGGTTAACAATGGTTTACTTTTAGTTTAGTTTTGAAGGATTTCCCTCTGGGGTCATCAAAGCACCAACCTTATCTTCTCTTATCTTCTCTTATCTTCTCTTATCATCTTATCTCGGCTTATATCATCTTCCTTAATCTTGGCTTTATGGAAGATAAACTGTATATTTCAGCAAGGTAGCCAGAATTACATCAGCACATGTCTTAAAAAACAAAACATGCCTTGTAAGCTATATTATTACCGTAAATGCTATCTGCAAGGGGGGGTGTGTGGGGGGGAGGCTGGTGAAAAGACATTTCAGTCACCAATAATATGGAACAGACTTTTGTTTTGTGTTTTGGCTCCAGTTTGCACGGTCCGACTTTGTACCCGGTTCTGTACCCAACTGCAGTCCTGTCCATGCCCCAGTTCCTCTGCTCTGTGCTTCTCTTGTGCTGAAGCCGGCTGTCTTTCCTCTCCACTTTGTGTCAAATAAATTTGGCAGCGTCTCCCCCATTCCTCCCCCCTCCCCCATCTCCGTTCCCCATCCCAAACGAAGCAACTTTCAAATTGATGCATGTGTGCAATTAACCTGCTATAAAAGTGTCTGCTAAGCAAATATTTTTCAAACGAGTCATTGGCACTGCCAGTCAGATGGAGTCCGACTCCACTGCCACCCTGCCAAATGTGAAGTTTTTGGAATTCCGGGCACGTATCAGCATCTTGCAGTCGTTTACAGGAAGCGCATGGAGTAATCTGTAAGTGTGTTAGCTGTGCGCCGCACGGCCATGCGGGGATCAGAATCCTTCATCGGCAGGGCCTCTCTCTGACTCTCTGGAGCTTCTCAGTAGCACTGGGCAGCCCTGTGAGGAATGTGCCTGCTCAGTTGCTTTGTTTTGTGCTGATCCAGCAGCAAGTTTTGTATCCCTCGGCTCTGAAGCTTTTCTATGTCACAGCGGACAGCAAACAGGTCAGCCGTGCTGTTCTATGAGACAAGTCAGGTGACCCAGATTAGAAAAGCAGCGATGCCAAGCTGAGTATTGTGACAGTCATGTGTGGGATTGAATTCTCCTCGGTGCTTCAGTTATAAACATGTCAGTGAATTAAACGTAATTATGCGTCATTTGCGAGTTCGGCTACAGGTATGTCGGAATGCTTTCATTTACGCGTCTTGCTGTCTATCAAGACATGCACACACGTGTAGCAGGGTCAGCCCATTCGGATATCCCTGGAGCAACTTTCAAGGGGTCTAAAGGCCTCGCTCAAGGGCCTAACAGTGATGCGGCTGTCCTGCAGAGCGCGATTAAAATTAGAGGTCAAATTTTTAAGTGCTGTGGTTGGAAAAAGCAGGCGTGAGAATGCCATGGAGTGAATCGAGCAGACATGCTGAAAGGCTGCAGTCGGGCGGAATAGCCAAGAAACACAGCCCATTTTGTGGTTTGGCTCTTCCTCCTGTGCCCCCTCTGCATCCTCTAAGTAGGTTACCAGGTGTTGGGGGGGGGGGGGGCGGTAAACTGTGGTCCCATCTGCCGCGCCCTATCCTGTTGACCTTCCACATGTTCATCCTGTCTGCTTTCAGCTTCCTTGCACCACTTACCGTCTTGCCCTTGGTGCATAGGGTATGACTCTGTGCTCAGCAGCAGTATGTGGGTTTTGCACAAACCTGTATCCTACTCCTGATCTCCAACACGGGGAAAAATATTATTGTAAGAACGTCTTTGGGGCTCCAATCCGGCACGGTTCACGCTTTACTGATATTTATGAGCGGGAAATGTGACACGTGGTTGCAGACGCGGCGATGCGCTCTGCTCCGAAGGTCCTCTGGCGGGCCTCTGAAGGGATGCCAGCTGGGAAATCACTGCCTGGGCTTTCATGGAGGTGTACACTAGTGACCAGTGTTCATCTTCTCTCTCTTTCTTCACATAGGTTGTGCAGCCTCACCCTGAAGAAGTTAATTGTCCTGAAGGAACTGGATAAAGACCTGAACTCTGTTGTAATCGCTGTTAAAATCCAGGTGGGTGAGGAATTTCCTTTGATTTATAATTGAACGTGGAAGCTGGCTGTAGGGGAAGGTCCACACTCCACACATTACCCTTCCCCCCGACGTCTGCATGGTTTTCCAGAAGATGCCTGGAACAGCATGTTTTCCATCCATTTGACCTGTTTGTTAGGTCCTGCATCATTAATAGCTCTTTAGCCTCGGTTGGCTGCTTAGTCAATGATTAGCTGAAGGAAAAGGGTTCATTCTAACCCTCAGAGTCTGCTCTTAGGCAGTCGGTAATTGTACATTTACTAGGACACACGTGTTATGCATGATTTGTGTTTTCTTTGGTATCTGTAGATGAATGAAGATTTTCACTGTAAGCAATTTCAGCAGGATTAGTAACCTAATGAAAACTCCATAAAACATAATTTATTTTCAGTATTTTATTTATAATATAGCATTGAATATAATTTGCCCAGCATAATTTGCACATGCAATAGTCATGCATACATTTTGTGTTTGAAGCATAGATGAAGTCTGTGACAAATGTTCTTGCATTGGTACGTCCTACTTTCCTATTCACATCTGTGGGAGTCCGGCAATGAGACTGGCTCATGTATGTGTTCGTGTTTACCAGCACATAGCGGGCCGGAGCTCACTGGGCACCCGCGCCAGTCAGCTGACCGCATTTATTCAGGCTTAATCTGGATCCCCCACCGAAAGACACAGTTTCTGCCGTCAGCTCATCAGTTCCAGTGACTGGACGGCGCGGTTGCCAAGGCGACGGTCCGCCGTGTGGGAACGGCAGAGAGAAAGGCAGAGGTGTGGTTATGGGGTACAGAACCATTGCTGTTCTCTTTGGAAGACGCAGCAAATTCTTCCCCGTGTCCCGGGGAGACACCGTCCATTCCGGGGTAGCCACAGCTAATTGGTACCGATTTGCTGCCCAAATGCATGACATCAGCTTTAACATCTTTATTATTCTTGGGACAACTTGTAAGAGCTGAAATACAGCAACATGCATCTGAGGACAGAGGGGAGTTTGCCAAGGTACATGTGGACCTAGTATATATTTATTAGACATTAATCATTAAGAGGGCAATCATGCCTCTGTCCCGTAAGCCGTCCGGGGGACGGAGATTCTGCTTTGTCAGGTCGTCACACATACTGAAGCACAGGAAGGTTAACGTCAGCTTGCTCTGAAAATCATAGTTCATGTATAATCAAGCAAGTTCCCATTCTTGTGCTGATATTCGGGTTTTGATTGGTTATGTCTGCATCTCATCTCCAGATGATCTTTTTTCCTTTCCCTCCTGTCTTTCCTTTATTCTCTGCAGTTCGTCCTTGGCAGTCTGCAAACTGAAAATGTTCTATAGTTATAAAACCACGATTCCTTTCACAATATAAGGAAAACATTATGTTCTTTATATATTATAATTCCTCTAGTGACTCCATCACATATTTCATTTCATGTTCTGTTGTTCAGTTGTATGATACATGTATATACACAGGTTTATCTAACCTTCATATAATTTTTAAAAGCGATTCTTATTTTACATTTAAGGTCCACATGCTGAAAACCAGTTTTTCCTCAAGGCTACAGTTCCGAGGAAAAAAAATTGCAAACCCTTTGGAACTATCTGTGTTTCTGCATGACCAGCTCCTAAGCACGGAACAAGAGCATCAAAATAAAGTCGAAATGATGAATAACACATACAGTAGCGTCTGACGCGGACCCGGATAGGCGGCAGACAGTGGATGGATGGATGGATGGATGGATTGTAGAGCATATTTTTATTTAACAAATCATTTGAGCGATCAAGGTAATTGATGGGAAAAGTATGTGAACCCTTTTGTTTTGTAACTGGTGGATCCTCCTTTATCAGCAGTGACCTTTAACAAATACATTAGCTGCTGATGAGACTTTCACAGCGGTTTGGATTCCTTTTCTTTTTTCATGCAACTACATGTTTATTTTACCTAAACACCCTCTGCAATTTGCTTCAAAACAATCTGTCGCAACTATGAGAGAGAATTAAAAAAAAATTAAGTTCTAAAACATGGAGCAGTGACAGCAGCAGATGGACACAGGCCAAGCTGTGTACGCACGTGGTGCCAGGTCCTCTGCCTGTCAGATCTGTCCTCTCTGACCTTTCTGCTTGCAGAGTACTCGGTGCTGACAGGCTGCTTTCCGAGTACTCGGTGCTGACAGGCTGCTTTCCGAGTACTCGGTGCTGACAGGCTGCTTTCCGAGTACTCGGTGCTGACAGGCTGCTTTCCGTTTA